CAGGAGGGTATGTAAGCACACACAGTGTCCCCCTACCCTAGTGCACAGGAGGGTATGTGAGCACACACAGTGGCCCCCTACCCTAGTGCCCAGGATGGTATATGAGCACACACGGTGTCCCCCTACCCTAGTGCCCAGGAGGGTATGTGAGCACACACAGTGTCCCCCTACCCTAGTGCCCAGGAGGAGAAAATGTGGGCGCACATTTTCTTGGCAATACAGATCAAGGCTTGGAGCGGTTACCCTAGGATGATTCTCTAGACAATGTTACAGAACAAAGTCTACAAATCACCTGATAACTGAAAATTCCAAGACTCAAAGCCAGTCCTGACTCTAAAACTGAATGCTGTCACATACTTAACGGCCACCGGAGTCATTCAGAGCAGAGGCAGCGTGGTTTCCGGAGTAATGAGTTCCAGGTTGTTGGAACTGTCAGGGAAGTGCCACGGAGAATGTTGTAGTAGAGGTGGCCGCATGGGACAGTTGGCAGGTGGGTACCATGAGAAGTACAAGAGTCTGTTATGAGAATACACTGACTCTTTGTTTTCCAGCTCTCTGTTTCTAAGTGAAATGGACAATAGAAAGTTACCATGTATTGGCCATAACCCACTCCCTGTCACACTCTCTCCCTCCTCTGCCAGAACACAGATGCTGTAGGCACCTGTAGGGCAGATACGGTCTCTAGATTCTTTTCATGTCTTTGAACGTGGCAAGCAAGTTCTCTCCCTGCCCATGCTAGGTGCTGAATTCAACGGGTTGAATTTATTTAAAGACAATTCAGATATGAATTATTTGGGAACTAGAGGCTCTTCAGGTGATGGCATTAAGGGACAGGTAATTAGAATTATCTAAATCAAGAATGATAAACACACAGCACTGGTCTCCCCTCTTATGTGACCATGACAGACATTGCTAATGGATTATCGTGCACTTGATCCCTGAGCCCAGCTGTGAACCCTCAGCCCTCTCTCCACATTCTCACCATGTCTAATGTCACCATGCAAGGCGACATTTATTTTCCATTAACAATGTAACCAGACAGAGGTGGGATTTCTATCGGCTCATGAATCAGTACCTTGTGCCTGTCTAGTTTAGCCAGAAGGTCCAAGTCTGTCCTGTCTGAGATCCCGCCATGTAGAACAAGGACTTTCTCATCAACCAGTGTGGCCAGTGGAAGCCAGCAGAAGACGTCTTGAAGCATCCTTAGGATTTTCTTCCCGTGTATCTGCAAAATGATACCGACAAGAGGTTCAACTTCGCGGATCTCAGCCTGAGGCTTGGGGAAGGGTGACTTGGAAAGGGACCACACCTTGTATTTCTGCATCACTTCCTTGGTGAAGCCGTATCTGGACACAAAGCACACATGAAGATGCATTTAGTGACAGAGGCCATGGCATGATCACATCTTATAAAAGTGCTTACTCTATTTTTGTGCCCTTAGAATATGCTCTTAGAAAAGAGAGAGAGAGATCGGAGTCATCATCAAGAAGTTTGCAATTTTGCCATTATTTCTGGGTAGAGAAATTATGAGATATTTAAATTCTGTTCTTTTTGTTTATCTAGATTTAATAGTGTCTCTGTGTGAGTCCTTATTGTTTTCAAGCTAAAAATATTTATACATTAGAAATATGTTTTTATTATAACAGTAAAATAACATTAAAGTTAAAAAGAAAAAATCTTTTAAAATATTGTATGCTGTGTGTTCTTTCAGAAATTAGAAAAATTTTTTTTTCTGGTAATTGAACCCAGAGCCTTGGGCATGCTAGGCAAGTGCTCCATCACTTACTACAACCATAGGCCTAGGAAAACCATGTTTAAAAGTCATTTGTAGTAAGGGACTCTAAAGAAGTAACTTTTACTACTGAAAGCAAGCACCCAACACCCAGCGCGTCTGGGCCTATACCGTAAGTTCACGAGGTGATCCTCATGGTTTCCTCGGTTAAGATGGAACTCTTTGGGATAAACCAACATGAAGGCAAACAGGACCATCAGGACCTCTACTGAGTCCTTGCCTCGGTCCACGAAGTCACCATTGAACACGTACGCCCTCTCTGGCGACGGTAGACCATTCTTGCAGTCCAAGAGGAGCCCGAGAAGAGGCGGTGAAGGAAAAGAAGGAGGAGAAGAGAGTATTAGGTTAAAGGCAGCAGGCGTCTGACTGCTACGCCAGAAATAGTCAGTCCTGTGATCTGCGGGTTCCTCCATAGGGAAACACCAGCAAAGAGGGGAATGTTCTCCATCCTGCTGTATTTCCTTCCCAATAGGACAGGACGCCCATCAGAATCGACACGTCATACAGAGACAGTGTCGCCTTGTGGTGTGGACCAAAGGATGCTGGCTTCTGACATGGAAGTCACTTTTAAGTTCCAAGTACATAACAACAATAACGATGAAAGTCATAATGACTGCCATGGACTCATAAGGATTAAATAAAATAATGCCAGGCTGAGCATGCCAGCACACCCCTGCAATCCCAGATCAGGAGTTCAGGGCTAGTCTGGGATACATAGTGAGTTGGAAGGAGGCCAGCCTGGTCTACATGAGACTATATATATATATATATATATATATATATATATGTGTGTGTGTGTGTGTGTGTGTGTGTGTATGTGTGTGTGTGTGTATATATATACATATATATATAATTTAAAAAAGAGTCAGGCAGTGGTGGCAGCATGCGCCTTTAATCTCAGCCCTTGGAGGCAAGTGGATCTCTGTGAGTTTGAGGCCGGTCTGGTCCTCAAAGTGAGTTCCAGAACAACCAGAACTGTTATACAGAGACACCATACCTTGTAAAAAAAATACATATATTATTTTTCTTATATATAATTTATTTTTATTATATATAATAAAATTTTATTTTTATTATATATAATTATTTTGAAATACAGTACATACAAAGTAATATTGTACTAATAAAATATCGAATATGCACTTTGTTATATATTCTACTTATAGCTAAAATGGATATAAAATTTTGGTTGCTTCCATACTAATCTTCTTTATTTGGAAAAATAGGAAATCAATTGCTTAATAATGGTTCAACTGTTTATCAATATACCATTGGCTTTGCCTAAATTTTACAAAAATAAACCAGAACCGAAAGCAAAGCTGACTTTTAGGTCATGTGTTGTACAGACACATATATTGTTTACAATAATATTTTAAAAATCCAAGCAATTGGGCCGAAGAGCTGGCTCGGCTGTTAAAAGCTCTGACTGCTCTTCCAGACAGCCCAGGTTTGGTTCCCCACACCCACACAGAGGCTCACAACCATCTGTAACTCCAGTTCCAAGGGGTCTATCGCCCTCTTCTGGCTTCCATGGCACTGAATGCATGTGGTATGCTGAAATACATGCAGACAAAATAAAAATGCGTATAAAATAAAAATAAATCTTTTTTTAAAATCCAGGTTATGGCCAATTGTTTGTATAATGGAAGGCATATCTGAACTTCTAATTTAAGCCTCAGAGCAAGAAACTAACTAAATTTGAATGTTCATACCTTATGAAATATAAATATTAAGTCATCCAATTGGCCATGTAGATCTCCTAACAGAGAAAAAGAATATTAGTTCATAGTGACCCTTCTTTAGCAAGAAAATTACTGTGCCTGGAAAAACCCAAGCAAGTGAAGGAACCAACAGTTACTGATCAGGGGACAATGCTTGCCTTTCACCTTGATATGGAAAACCTGAAAATGTTCTTTTCTTTTTTCTTTTTCATGACCTTGCAAACAGTAACTAATCCATGTTGCTGAAGCAGAGATGGGGAAGAATGACACAGGGTGTTAAAGGGTGAGAGACTTTCATTAGAAGCTGCCGCTCACTTTGGGGCCAATGTTGGGAGATTGTTCAAGAGAAGTAACCAAATCCAAACGTCATAAGAAATCTCCTGTTCACATGTTGAAACAATGATTCTTAACGTTCAGATGCTTGCAGGGTGTACAGGACACATCGGCTGGACCAGTTCACAACCCCTTGTGTGTATTTCCCTCAGCTGGAGTGTGGGCTTCTCTCTGCATGGATGCTACTGAGTGAATGGCAAAGATTGGCTGCTAGGGCTCCCCGTGGGAGAGACGTGTGTGCGGACGGGAATCATAAGCCTTGAAATTGGCCCAAGTACAAAAAAATAATACGTCTGCTCATACAGAAGGCCAGGTGGGCTTTCTTCGCTTGTTCTTTGCTGTTCACGGCTGTTTGTTGCCGTGATTTTGCTCTCAGGATGGAATGTGAGCTTGGGGTCACTACGAACGGCTTCTCTGAGCCACGTCTCCTTTAAGTAAGGGTGGAACGTATGTGTAAACGGTGAGCCGACAGAGGGACGCGCTGACATGCTATTCACATGCCATTATGTTCCCGCTGGCTCAGCTCTGTCGCCAGACTCTGTGCTACGGCAGCGTTTTCTGGGTTGTGTCTAGCCAGGGAAGGCAGCACCCACGGGCACTTACCGCACACTGTGATCTCCTCGCTGTAACAGGTTGAGATCCGGTTGATGTTCGGCAGCTGGGCCAGGTGCTTCCGGGTCTCGTACAGAAGATTGAGGACGTAGCGAGCATGGAGCTGCTACTGGGAGGAAGGAAAGGGACAGAACAAAAGGATACTGGTGGCCCCACTTTTGCTGGTGAATGCCCAGCCAACCCCGGACCCCCAAAGGAACCCTGTAAACTGTGGGTCCTCTTCGCTCAACTCTGTTTCCGTTTCTTCTCTCCTGTTTGTCTCTTCTGTAAACATAGAGTCACCCCCTCTTTCTGTCTAGTCTATAAAACTCTTCTTTTCCCTTAGGGAGCAGTGCATGTCTGTCGTAGCAAAGCAAGAATTAGTGCACACACTGGTAGCGTGGGCGGATCCTGCCGTTGCTTAGAAGTAGTTTCCCAACCTCCACCCTGCTTTCTTTCTTCTTGGCAAAGAGTGGAAGGACCATGAACTACGCGCCTCTCAGAACGGAGCCACTTCTCACCCCACTGGTCATGAGGGTTTCAAAGCAAGACAGTGTTTGACTTGGACCATTGTCTACCGGCAGGTCTCCCTGCTTCAGCCCTCACCCTGCACGCCAGTCTCACCTCAGCAAGCGCTATGATTCTATAATTACTTCAGAGAGGTTCTCACTATGAATTGTCTCCCTGACTGCTGGAACTCACTCTCTAGACCCAGTGAGCCTGGAACTCACAGAGATCAGCCTACCTCTTCCTCCCAAATTCTGAGATTAAAGGTGTTAGTCATAGGGTCCCGCGATTTTAAAGAGCGAGCTGGAAGGTCATTCTGGAGCTTCTGCCACTGCATCTGTTACTTAGTCCCTGCATTTCTCCTTGCTAACCACAATGGCCTTCCCGAGGTCTGTGAACAGCCCACGAAGGTCCCTGAACAGACCACAGGTGGCACTTGCTCCCCTGTCTAGAATACCCCATTCTCAGATTGCTCAGGTGTATCCCTCATCACTCTGGACCTTTGCGGACATCTCCTTCCCAGACTCTGTAAAACCGCCGTCTTTCCTGCCCCCTCTTCTTCCTTAGCTCTCATCACTTTCTGTACTGACTCATTGGTTTATTGCTTGTCTTCCTACACCACTAGTGTGTCAGTCGCACGAGGGCACTGCATCCCCAGCGCTCTGCTCAGCAGGAGCCTCCATTCTGTCTGCAGGTGGAATGAACAAGGCAAAGGTTTTGATCCTAGAGACTGGCTCATGGACCACGGCAGCCTGGCTACACTTCCGGCACTGGTTTGGTCTGCCCTTACTCAGGAATGCTAGTCAAGAGGCACCCACATTCCTACTTAGGCTTACTTGTCTCAGTCTGAAAGCTTCCACCAGGGCAGTAGCATGGTCAGGAAGAAGGGGGAAGGAGAGGCGTGGCCCTGTGTAGCTGTCGGGCACCTCTATGGATTCGTAGTCTGTCTCCACATCCTGGGCGAATCTCTCCTCAGTGAACATGCGGTTCAGGAAGTCCCCTAGTTCAGACAGAGGACAAAGGCAGGCCAGCTCAGGAATAGACCTCGTGGGATTGTTAATGCAGTGGGACCCTGCCTCGGCACTGGCTCCAGCCCAAGATATGACAGGGAAAGAAATGGGAGATGAGGAAGAGACCAGGAGGGAGGTTCTACTTCTGGGACAGTACAGTCATTAATTGATATCTAGCTATGTTTACTTTTTTAAAATCACCAGAAACAGGTGATAGAGAGAGGATGGTTCAGCAGTTAGGAGTGCTTGCTCCTAACTGTTGCTCTTCCAGAAGTCCTGAGTTAGATTCCTAGCACTCTGGCTTCTCACAAGGACCTTTAATTCCAGATCCAGGAGGATCTGGTGCCCTCTGCTGACCTCCTTGGGCATCTGCACTCACATGTGCATACACACACACATCAACACATACTTTAAAATAAATATTTTTTTTAACAATCAAAATATGGGTCAGAGAAAATCCAGAAATGCAGAGGCCTGTGAAGTCAGGAAGAAGGTCAGAGCAGAGCCAAGAAGGAAAAGCTTCTGGGCCATTCGCCTCCTTCAGTGGGCACAGCAGGGTCTAAGACCATGCCCAGCACTGCAGCTTCCTCCAACTGCCAACCTCTGGAAGCCCAGGCCAAGGCTTTTCCTGCTGGACTGCGGGGACCGTGAGTGGCAGACCAGAAAGGCTGTGGAGTCAACTCTCCCTACACCCTTCTTTCTAGGAGGCCTTCATCCAGGGACGCCCAGGCTGACACTGCCCCAGGTCCTGGTGTCTGGAGGCTCAGTTTTCATTATTCCCCCGGCCTCCTGAGTTGCTGGTTGTTCTCCCATTACCAGCATCTCTCTCCACTCCCTCCATCCCAGTCCACTCCCTCCCACCTCCAGGGATTCCTGCCTCTTAGTAAACCAGCTCCTGGCGCTTAAACTCTGGCCTCCAGGTGTGCTTACAGGAGAGCCCAGGCTAAAGGCTTACTCTGTCATTCATTTGCCAACTGTCTCCCTCAGTCCTGGACTCTCACCAGAGTCTCCAGCCCACACTTCAGACAGAAGACCATGTCACATGGCAACTCCCGTACTCACTCTCATGGTGACTGCTGGGTGTGACGTGATCCACAAGGTAGCTAAAGAAATCATGGAGCTGTGGAAAAACCAGACAAGGTTAGCTTTAAAAACGAGGGAAACAGGAGCCAGGAGTGGTTCAGATCGGCTGCACCTTCAAGCACCAGGCCTTCTGCCAGGCAGGCAGTTCCCTGTCCCCACCGGCATACCTTGACCTGGTCTTGCTGTCCAGCATACTCTATAGACTGGAAGATGTTCCAGGTACATCGCCGCCTCATCTCCAAGCGGGCCATGTAGCGCCGGTACCATCTCTGGATCAGGGCCGCTGCCTTGAAGGCTATAACCCAGACGAAGACACAGTCCTGTGAGCAGGAACTCCCAGAGATGGAGCAGGAAGCAGGGGAGGATGTGTGCAGACCTGGTCCCACCATAAGGGTGGGGGAAGATGGTGGGGACAACTCTGCCCGGAAATGCCAGAAGGAGGCATCTCTCTTACTGTTGGTCACAGAGGCTTGTCCTCCATGCCCATCTCACCATCCCTCCAAATCCCTGCCATGACTGATGGTGTTAATGCCACTGACAGTTCATTGGATTTTCACTTCTTGAAAGTTTTACCTTGCCTTGACCCCTGTCTGAATGGAGACATTTGCAGTTACCTGGTGAATGCTGGAAACCAGGAATAGTAATGACTCTATCTATGTTCTTTTTTTTTTCTTCATGGTTAAGTCAAGAAAAGTCATCTTTTCACCTAAAGAAACACCTTCCTGCTTCTCTTTGGCCTATCGGAGTAACTGCATCTGTAGGCTAGTGTCGCGGGTCCGTTGCTAAACAGGTGATGACTTGACAAGAAGCTCTGTGGGGCTGAGAGTTGGCTCAGCAGCTCAGAGCATCGGCCACTCTTGCAGAGAAGCCAGGTTCCGTTCCCAGCACTATGTGGCTGCTCATAACTGTCTGTGTTTCCAGTTCCAGGGCATCTGACACCCTCTTCTGGCTCTGAAGGCACCAAACATATGTGTTGTAGACTATTATTTGAACTAGGCAAAGATGTGTTACATTTGTTTAATGATGTAAGGATGTGTTACATTTGTTTAATGATGTAAGGATGTGTTACATTTGTTTAATGATGTAAGGATGTGTTACATTTGTTTAATGATGTAAGGATGTGTTACATTTGTTTAATGATGTAAGAATGTTACATTTGTTTAATGATGTAAGGATGTGTTACATTTGTTTAATGATGTAAGGATGTGTTACATTTGTTTGTGTTGCATTTGTTTAGTTATGAAAAGCTGTGTTGCATTTGCATGTGCCTTGCCCGTCCAAGGCACCTGATTGGTCTAATAAAGAGCTGAATGGCCAATAGTGAAGCAGGAGAAAGGATAGATGGGGCTGGCTGGCAGAGAGAATAAATATGAGGAGAAAAAAGAGGAAAAGAGATTGAGGGAGAAAAAGAGGGACATGCCCAGGGCAAGAAGCTAGATAGCTGCCAACCAGACTTGAGAGGCAGTGAAAGATACACAGAAAGAAAGAAAGGTAAAAGGCCCCCTGCAGCAAAAGATAAACAGGCTGAAAGAGCTAGTCAGAAACGACCCTAAGCTAGGTTGAGCATTTATAACTAATAACCAATAAGTTGCCGTGTCATGATTTGGGAGCTGGTTAGTGGCCCAAAAGAAAAAGCCTGCTACACATATACCTTTACAATACATACGTGTAAGCAAAATGTGCATACACATAAGATATAAGTAAATAATTTACAAAAATAAAAAAAAGAAGCAACTGGATGGTGGTGGCACACACCTTTAATCCCAGCACTCAGGCGGCAAAGGCAGGCGGATCTCTGTGAGTTCGAGGCCAGCCTGGTCTACAGAGATAGTCCCAGGACAGGCTCCAAAGCTACAGAGAAACCCTGTCTCAAAAAACCAATGAGAGAGAGAGAAAGAGAGAGAGAGAGAGAGAGAGAGAGAGAGAGAGAGAGAGAGAAAGAGTTGCTGTATATGCATAGAAGAGTTGGGGTCTGAAGATTCTGGATTCTGGGAAGGAGATGTCAATTGGAAAGAAGGCAAGGATTTTACACACTTGAAGAGTGTGTGTGTGTGTGTGTGTGTGTGTGTGCGCGCGCGCGCATGTGGTATTTCCACATTATGGCAGTAGGCTGAATATCCAGAACTGGCTTCCTCTAAACTGTCCTGCCAAGCTTTGTGGCCTTGGCAAACCCTCTTACATCTCAACATCTTCATCTAGACAAGTAATTAGACTCCATGAAGAGTGGATACTCTCGATGTCACATAACAAGTTGTGAGTGTTTCCTACGCCCCAATCCTTCATATGTCACTGTCCTGGTTAGTTTTATCTCAACTTGAAACAAGGCAGAGTCATCAGAGAGGAGAGAGCCTCAGCTGAGAAAACGCCTCTATGAGATCAGGCTGTAGGCAAGCCTGTAGGACATTTTCTTAATTAGTGATTGATGGCAAGGATCTGGCCCATTGCGGATGGGGCCATCCCTGTGCTGGGGGTCCTGGGTTCTACAAGAAAGCAGGCTGAGCAAGCCAGTAAGCAACATTCCTTCATGACTTCTGCACCGCTCCTGCCTCGAGGTTCCAGCCCTGCTTGAGTTCCTGTCCTGACTTCCTTTGATGATAAATCGTGATGTGGAAGCAGAAGTTAAAGAAACCCTTCCTTCCCAAGTTCTTTGGCCACGGTGTTTCATCACAGCAACCATAACCCTAACTAGGATAGTTAACATTCTCAGTTTAAGAAATATTTTGGGTGGGGGGTGGTAGCGTATGCTTTTAATCCCAGTACTTGGGAGGCAGAGACGGACAGATCTCCCTAAGTTTCAGGACAGCCTGGTGTACATAGTGAGTTCCAGGATAGCCAGAGTCACAACATAGTGAGACCCTGTCAATAATAATAATAATAATAATAAGTTCTGTATTCGGTCACATCTATGCAAAAGTATCTAATACATGTGACATTAGTCGCTCCAAAAATTCATTTCTTTCTACCCTCTTTTCAAGCCTTTCTTCACAGAAGAAAGGGATGTTTTGAAGAGATAAAAATATTGTTATAGAATTTCTTATTTTGAGTTATTTTGTCCTTTGTGCCTTTGGAATGAAGTTTAGAGTCCTACAGAAGGCTGGACATGCTAGTACATGCCCCCAATACCAGCCCCTGGGAGGCAGAGGCAGGAGAATGGGGGCCAAATTTTGACCAGCATGGTCCGTAGCAGGCTGCAGGCAGCCAGAGCTACACAGTGAGTCCTAATAACAGACAGAATCCTGTAGGGTTCGGACTGGCCTGGCTTCTGCAGAACTCAACAGCTCCTCCTCAATTCTCCACCTCTTTCACATTAGACCATCCTGTTCCATGAATGGGCATCAGTTTTTCTTCCCCACTGACCCTGGTACACAGTGGATCCTCTCTCTTCCATCCTGAGGCGTTCAGCCCCACACAGCACGGGGTTCGGGCCCCCGACGCTAGCTCTGAAGGAGGGAAGCGCGTACCTTTCTCAGCATTCTGAAAAGCAAAGTGGTGCTGCCTGGAGGAGCTGCTTCCCATGGCTTCTGCGGGACACAGACAGCCGATCTGGGGAAGGATCGAAGGGACATTGTCAGAGGGAGTCACACAAAGCCTCAGTTCAGATGGAACAAACCGTCTGAGAACCCGGTAAGAGCGCCCCCTCCTCTCTAGGCTCTGCACACAGGCGTTGGTTTATCCCATGAGAATTCCCTGCTTTTGTCGCGCCTCGCCCTCCGCCCTCCGGGTTTTCACTCTCTACTGGCTTTTCCTCCATGATCCAGAAGCGTGCTGGTAGCTTTTGAGGTTTTGAAGATGCTTTTCACACTCTCCGCCATCCTTAAGGTGTTACAAACCCTTGCTTCCCTCTCACCCACAAGAACAAATGGCACGTTTTCGTCAAAGATTCTGTGTTGTTCTTTGAGACAGGTTTGCGCTGTGTAGCCCTGGAACTCACTATGTAGACCAGGCTGGCCTCAAACTCATAGAGATTCCCCTGCTTCTACCTCCTGAGTGCTGGGATTAAGGGTGTGTGACACCACTGCCTGACGATACTATTGTTCTGTGGGGCCTGGAATATGCTAGACACATGCTCTACCTCTGAACTATATCCACAGCCTCCCCATTTTGTTCTTTCAAGACAGGGTTTCTCTGTAGCTTTGGGTCACAGCCCCTTTTTTCTTGTCTTGTTTGTTTTGTTTTAAGACAGGATCTCATGTATTCCAGGCTAACCTCAAACTCACTGTGTAATTGAGGATAACCTTGAACTTCTGTCTGTGTGGTCTTTGCTGTCTGAGAGCTGGGTAACGGGCATGTGCCAACGATGCCTGTTTATGTGATATCGGGTCTCATGCATGCTGGTCCGGCTCTCTACCAACTGAGCTACATCCTAACTCCCCTTTTAACATTTGTTTTGAGATATTAAATATTCCAGGCTGGACTCAAACTTGTGCCCCTCTTGTTTCAGTCTCCCGAAGAGCTGAGATTACAGGTCTGGACCACCCGTGCCTGACCTCTTAGATGCTCTTCACACTCCCATTTTTATCCTCATTGATCAAAGTATTTCCCAATGATTAAAGCACAGAGTAGAAGAGGAGAGGTTTGGGATTAGAATTCATACGCAAGCGTGCACAGCCCCAGGCGCACACACACGTGCATACACACACCCAGGCACACACACACACATGCACACACATGCCCAGGCATACTCAGGCATGCACGCACTACACACCCAGGCACACACACATGCACGCACACGGGAAACTTCAAGCATCTTTGGTGAAGTCGCGGTTGCTTAGTGACGCAGTCTGCTTTCCACAGACATATCACAGAGGTGTTGGAGGCAGCAAACAAGGTATGCTTACTTAGGGCTGGAATGATGCATGAATTCCTACCCAGGCCAAAGGTAAGTGAACTGCTTATGTAAGAATCAAGGGACAGGGGCTGGAGAGATGGCTCAGCGGTTAAGAGCACTTGACTGCCCTTCCAGAGGACCTGGGTTCAATTCCCAGCACCCACATGGCAGCTCACAACTGTCTGAAGATCCAGTTCCAGGAGATCTGACACCTTCACACCAATACACATAAAATAAAGTTAAATAAACCATAAGAAATATTTAAAAAAAAAAAAAAGAATCAAGGGACATTGAAGACTGAACACACACTGCTCTTTCCTAACCCTGAACGGTGCCTTTTACAGACCCACCTTACAGCCTGTTCACTAAGGAAAACACGTGACACTCTGGGCAGTGTGTGTGTGTGTGTGTGTGTGTTGGGGGTTGGAGAGACATCTCAGTGGTTTAGAGCCCTTGTGACTCTTTCAATTCCCAGCACCCACATGGCAGCTCATAACCATCCATAACTCCGGTTTCAGGAAACCCAACACACTTTTCTGACATTCGTGGGCACTAGGCATGCACATGTTGCACATACATACATGTAGGCAAAACTATTATACATACAAAATAAATCTAAAGTATTTTTTAAAAATAAGTGGTGTGCATGTGTGTGTATGTGTGTGTGTGGGGGAGCGGTATTCTTAGCAAGCCTTAGAGAAGAAACTTGAAAACCACTAAGCTCCTATGGAAACCCATTGTCAAGGGCCCTAAGCTGACTCACCCAGAAGGCCACAGGCATCGTTGGGTGTCTCACTGCTTCCCTGAGTGCCTCTCTCCATGAACCTCTGTGCTTACTATCTGTCAGAAATGTCTTTACTTAATCTCCAGCCCTGCTTCATACTGGCTCCCTGAACGTTCCTTCATGGAAGCCACACGTCCTGGTTTTGCCTGGATGGAGGCTGGAGGGGACAGGGAACTCTTGAGGCTGCTGGGGGAGGTGGGTACGAGCGGTGCTCCTGTTCCTATATTGTCCACGACGAAACCCTTTTCTTCCCACGCTACCTTCATTTGTCGGGCTCATGTCTTATCCATTTCTCTCCTACAGGCCAGGAAGCTCCCCCTTACCTTCTTGGTGCTTAGCTGCGAGGCCCGAGGAGGCAGGCACCTAACCTGTACGTCTGGCCATCATCTTATCTCCAGGGCTGGTGGATGGAACTGGCTGTAGATTTAACAGAAAGGACAGCACCTTTGTCTGGTGTTGTCTTCTCGGAGGGCAGGATGACACGCACAAGCCTGGCAGTGCATTTCAGGCGCTGAGTGACGTTCGCAGTATCCACCTTTAAGCTCTGGGCCAGCAACCTGGGGACAGGAGGCAAGTCTGCAGGGTGTGACGTGTCACTCTGGGCGGGACACGCAAACACACCCCCCAGTCCTAGATCCTCTTACTCTTGTGGATTAGGAGGTACATTCCCCAAGTCAGCCCTGCATGCCTGAGCTCCTTAACCCAGAAATAGAATGGTGACCCCCCACAGAGGCCATGTGACTGCATCATGCCAGCTGCTCCACAAGAGCCGTGTGTGTGTATGTGTGCACACATGCGTGCACGTGGGCCTGTGTGTGTTGTTCCTGCCTTTCCCAGGGACCAATCCCCTCAAGATGAGGCTGAGGTGAGATGATCATTAATCTACATTCCCAGATCATTCTTCAGCAAATCTAAGATGCCTGAGTATATTAAATAAGTATTAAGTCTCCTATGACTATTTACAAAGAAATCTATACTTAGTTCCCTTTCCTACACCCACTAGGAAATACAAAATAATAAATTATATTTAAAAACGGAAGCGTGAGGTTTTCAGAGAAAGCAGGTAGAACACAACACTTGATGTCCACAAGCTTTAATTTTCCCTGACATCTTTTGACATTTTATTAATAAACAACAAACAATGACAGGAAATCATTTGGTTTTATATAATTTTCAAAAGTAGTAAGAAAGTAGGTTTTTTTTAAAAAATAAAGTCCACATTAAAAAATACATTAGACCATATAAGAAGTGTGTGTGTGGGATGCTATTTGGAAATATGAAATCAAACGGACACACCTTTAAACAGACTCCACTCAAACTACAGGTCTCCACTTTCCAGAGAGACTTATTTGTTCCTTTATTCTATGGCACTATGGGTGGAACCCAGGGCTTTGCACTTGTTAGGCAAACTCTGTCGTGAGCTGCACCCAGCCTCAGGAGAAACTTTTCCCCGGGCTTGTCCACCAGCCCTGCCATGACAGTTGTCATGCCCTGTAATGCCTTCAGCAGAAAGGCAGACGTCGGAACACAAAATCATGGGAAACCGAAGCCAGTCAGATACACTCTGACCCCAACACCAGGTATCTGAGTTGTTCCAGCCAGACACACTCTGACCTCTGACCCCGTTATATGAGTTGCCGCAGCCAGGGTGGGCTGTTAAGGGAATAGTAAGGGGACCAGGACGTGGGGAGGATGCAAGACAATGGGCTGCTGTCCACGTCTCCAGACATGTGCCCAGAGATGCCCTCACATCAGCAAGGCAGAAAAGCTGAAGGAGGGAGGAGGCCATGCTGACTATGAAAGAGTTCACCGTTTCACTCTGTCCTACTCTGGGACGCGGCCTTTCGACAACAATCACCTGGCAAGAAGAAAAATTACATACATTTAATTCAAACAAAAATTTTTTAAAAATGTAATTTTTAAGATTTGCATTCCCATGATAAAAGACTGACCAAACTATCAGGCCAGGTTTGATAATCCAGGGACCTGAGCAGTAGTAGCCCAGGGTCCCGACGGCAGGCGCTGTTCAGAAGATCGAGTTCAGGGATAGCATGAGGGAACTCCTGTCCCTTTATGTCCTCTTATGTCCCTTGGGCTCATTGGTACCTTCAAGTAAATTCTGGAAGGGTCTATTGCCTTCAGGATCTGCCTTCTGCTACTCAAAGACCCTGGGCCTCACTATTGCTCTGGGGACGCAAGAGTCTTCCTAAATATCTGCCCCTCGAGACATGAGGGGCTGACACTGGGTCTTGAGAGCAGGGTTTTTAGGCAGCAATGGGCAGAGACACTGAGAAATTTCAGTGTCATATAAACTCTTTTTAAAAAATATCTAGGGGTTGGAGCAATAGCTCCAGCCATTAAGAGCCCTAGATGCTCTTCCAAAGGTCCTGAGTTCAATTCCCAGCACCCACACGATGGCTCACAACCGTCTGTAATAGAACACGATACCCTCTTCTGGCACGCAGAGCACTCATAACGTAAAATATAAATAAATAAAAATAACTAGTGATTGACCATCATATGCTAAATACTTATCCGAAAGTATTATGTACTTTTAAGTCTTAGGGAGGTCAGCATTGTCTGTGAGAGAAGCACTCCACCTGCCACCCCCATCCCCCCAAAGCAGTAACAGATCTAACGGATCATCAAATCCTTCCCGGCCTAGCACGGCACACTCGCTCCTCTGTTCACCTTCAGCTTGGGTTCCGGATCCTAGTCGTGTACTTGTCAGGCTGGGCAGCACTCATCACCGTGGTGTAGATTGTGAAGCTGAAATAACAGGACCCATTCTTACACGTGCATCACCTTCCCCATATGATTCCCCGCCCTGTCTCTTGGTCTCTTGGGATGCGGGATAAGAATGCAAAGAGGCAGAATGTTTAAAATGTAAGTAGAGAGGTCTAA